GAGAGCAGCGTTATGCTGCCAGAGTGCTGAGGGGTAGTGCTGTCTCTTATACACATCTAGATGTGTATAAGAGACAGCTCTCTATCTCTATCTATCTCTATCTATCTATCTGAAGAAGAAGAAGAATGTCGAATCAGGTCCTGGGTCACTGGGTGTATGCCCGATGCAACTCCTACCAGGTACTAAGAGTATAAACGAAAGGAGTGAAATAAAGAGTAGCTTCTGGAAACATTCGTATTGGAAATCTTAAAAAATCCTAAGTTCCCAGGCTGTACACCCACGCACTGTTGAAATGGGGATTCAAGCTCGGGCCCACATACAATCAGATGCCCAGAATAACATAATTGAAAATTCTGAATTACCTGGGGCCGGTCAGCTTCAATGGTGATATCTCAAGGACATCACCATTCACAAAAAAAAAAGAAAAAAAAGAAAAAAGAACGAAAAGGAATCCCCACTCGGGTATCTGTTCGCACTTGAACTCAAGGCTCCTAAGGCCTGGGCCCCACTGCCCAGCGGCTGGAAACAGATGTTGGCCACAAAAAACGGCCGAGCGTGGTTGGAAAGAACTTGCCGCATTTCATTGGGACCCACCGCCACCCTTGACTCTTGGCACTGGAAACAGATGGACATGCCCGGATAGAAAATTCCCCCGGGGTGTTTCCCGAAAAGGCAAGTCGGGTCGGGGCTGTGGTCCATGGCCTCCTATCAGCCTGCACCAGGACATGTCCGGGTGTGGCCGTGCGCGGCCCGGTGTGGCGGGTGCCAGACAAGTACCGTGTAGCACACAATGGCCTCACAGGTTCCACTTGGGCTGCGGGGCGGGTCTGTGCACGGAAATTGCCGTTGGGAGCGTCGGCGGATGCCCCCCCCCCCCTCACGCTCCTGCCGTCGGAACCACTTTTCCCGGCCGGACCATCCAAAGTGGGAGTGCAGACTGTGCAGGTACGGAGCACTGACGGGAAGCCATAGCCATCGACGAAGGAGGGTTTGGCGAGGAGTACGGGTCTGCGAAGGTTGTGCGCTCGACGCTGCAGGCACCGGAATTTGCCTCGTTCGGATTTTCTTTTTGCAACTCGGAGTTAGATTAGGAATTTGGGTGCATGTCAATTTCTGATGCACGACGCTTGGTCGCGTCAGGATCTGTGTTTTGACTTCTCCGCGCCTTAATCTTACGAGTAACTGTAATTTTTCGTTTTGGCGGGCGCGACTGCAGCTGTAATCCTCTCGTTCTTGATATGTTTTGTGGTGCCCCTGTGCACGCATACTTCTCCCCTGTCCTATTGGCCTGAACGCTTGCATGATCGGATCGATGTGTGGAGTGAGGCTACGTCCCCCACACCGCGGAATGGCCATGCAGACGTAGGCACTTCCTCCCTTCTTCTCCCTCCCACTCGGACACAATCCCGGGTATTGCGCGCATGCATGCATGCTATAAATTTTGCAAGCGCGATTAAGTCTCTCTAAGAATTTTGGGAGTTAGTGTGGTCGAGAGGATCAACTAACGAGCCAGAGTTAGCACGTGAGTAGAGAGTTGGGCGATCCGACGAGCTGATGTTGACCATGCGGGGTTGACATAGGGCCGCGACGGACTGTGGCGCACGGGCGAACCTAGCTTGCATGCTCGGATCAAGCGGGGTGACAACTCAATGTGGGTGCGAGGCGACGGACTGCCCGCATCGGGGTGATGAAAAGAGAGAGAGAGAGAGAGAGAGAGAGAGAGAGAGAGAGAGAGAGAGAGAGAGAGAGAGAGAGAGAGAGAGAGANAGAGAGAGAGAGAGAGAGAGAGAGAGAGAGAGAGAGAGAGAGAGAGAGAGAGAGAGAGAGAGAGAGAGAGAGAGAGAGAGAGATATGGGAGGTGTGTGATGAGCTTCTTCTTCGGTTCTTCTAAGCAATTTTGGTTCTTCTTCTATCCCTCTGAGCAATTTTGGTGTTCGGCGCAAGTCACCCTTTTCCTTTCTGGATCGGCATGATCTCGGATTTGTCATTTGTTTTGAACTGGTGGATCTGATTAGTTGGTCACCTGCGATCCAATCTGTTGGCAGAAGACTGTTGCATAAGCATCCTCGAATCCTGCTGTTGAGGTTCATGTGTGTGCGTGAGCTGAATGCATGAATGTCAGGTGTGGTCCTGTTTGTGTATGACCTAGATATGCATGCTAGACGATTAGGATGTTTGTCTCCTCATAGGACGATCCATCCCGCGAACAACTAACTTTCACCCATCCGATCGAAGGAGAGGCCTCGTGCACGCACGTGTAGGCTCGACCAAGCATGATCGCTGCCTACATGCGTGTCTGCGAAATATGAACTCGATCGATTTCCGGAATGTCTAAACGCCTGCCCGCCCTATAATATGAACTTTGAAATCCCTTTTCGTGTCACCGACCGGAAGTGTTTGAGAGATCGGGAATTTCGGGGATATTGGGAACGCTCGTGCTCGTCAACCCGATCGAGGGCGGACCCGCCGAACTTCCCTTACTTAACCAGAACCGAACGTATTTGCGAGTGGGATCTCGATCGGGCTTTGGGACGTATCCCCTATCTCCTCAGCTACTCTAGCCCATACACGTGTCACGCCGTCGCAAAAACCGGGATCATTA